ATCTGTTCATTTCTTTTGTATGTCCGACGATCAAAAGACCGCTTGGGATCGAGTCTGTTTATAATTTGAAAGGTAATCTTGTCAGTTGTATATACAAAAGGTAAATTGTTTACAAAATGAGTCTTTGTTTATTATCTGATAAATGTTTACTTTTTTTGTCAATTGTTCACGATTGTAGATGCCTTTGTGTAAAATCCAAGTAGGATGTACGTAAGCTAATAAATGTTCTCGTTAATCTTATCTCGCCATTTGGTTCGTTCATGGTTACAAGAAATCACCACATAGAGTCTCTCAAGTCTCCGTAGATATAACAAACAGAAATAAATTACACAAAATAAATTGTAGCTATGCGTCGATTCCGCGCGACACATCCGAACATGTAAGCTGGACAATAGTGTGGGGGGGAGTGAATAATCAAAGAGTTGCGTGGCGCTCAAACAAAAGATGAATCGACGAGATTTGAAAATCGCATAACTCTGGGGTAGCGTAAGTCGGGGTATGACTGTACTGTTGATTTTGATATATTTGCATTCTAAAATATGCCAGATTTTTTCTGATTTTTAGATCTGAATTTCTTGTATGCCAGGACAGACATTTACATTGTTGGTCTGGAAACACCAGATGAGTCATCTGGCTTCATGTATTCATACATTGCTGTATATCCATTTATTGCAGCCAAACAGGCACTTGATCCATAAGAGGAAGATGTGCTGAAGGTCCTCCAGATAGTACTCCTATTAGACTTCTATGTTCTAATTGAGAACTTTAACTTTCCTCTCCTAAAATCATAAAACTTTCTCTGTATTGATAGTTGGGTGCAGTATGATCATATGAGTACACAACACTATAAGTTGTCCAGACCATCCTGAGAAAATTGCTTTTCATCAATCTGAGGGTAATTAAAATTGATACCCTCAGAAAGATGGTGCCAGGAGAATTCCAGTCACTTCTGCTTGTCCTTGTGGCCACAGAAGCAGTTTCTTCAATATTTTGCAATAGTTAAAACTCCCATATTGCAGAACTGTGTTGATAATATGGCGGATACATTTTGATCCAGATTCCCAGAGGTGATGATTTCTAACAAGCTGATTTTGTATGATTGTCTATGTTAGTCATAACAAATGTCTCCTATACTGGGTTTTTTTAGAGAGGTTATCTTCCAAGTTTCTTTCTTGCCTGTTCTTGTTGATGGATTGTTTTTCTAGAAATGACTGACATTTCTTCTATTTTTCACAGGTTACAGTAATTCTCATATAAGATCTTCACTTAGCAGAGTTTCTCAAAATTCATTCTTTTATACAGAGTCCATGCCACATTTTCTTCCATAAATATGACACATTAGGCAAAACTTGATCAAGCTTCTACAGGAACATGACTTAAACTTCTGGTGACACTTCATATAAGAATCTTGCAGAATAATTAGAAATTTGGAGAAACTTTCCAAATATCCTGACTGCTTATTAGCTACACATCAGTCATTACTACTTTGGTAATATAGCTATATTTTATCAAATCTCACTTTTAAGTGATGTGCAATATTATGTCAACTTGAACATATTATTATTTTATTGAATTATTATTTTGGTAATATAGCTATATTTTATCAAATCTCACTTTTAAGTGATGTGCAATATTATGTCAACTTGAACATAGTATTATTTTATTGAATTATTAATTCAAAAAAATAGAATTTGATGTTTTATTGAATTTATTTTTTTCTTTTAAACAGATGGTTGGAGATTGTGCCTAAAGTTTTAACAACTTTAACTTCTCGAAATATTGTATCTCAAAATAATATAGATATGACTGGTACAGAATACAGATCTCATTTAATAAAATGCCTCTGTTTAAACAAGTAAATTTTAATTTCTTATTTAACATTAGTTTTCATTATTTAATCACAAAATAAATCTTTTTAGATGGGAACCAGAATGTGCAGTCCAAGTGGCTTCAACATTTAGGTAAGAATCCAGAATATTTTATCATTTTAGTTACTTAAAAAATTTATTTTTAAAAAATTATCCAATAAACCTACATAAAAAATATACTTACATAAAATGGTATTATATTCAGATAATAAGGAATCAGCTGCTAAGTTATGGTAATCAAAATATTTATTTTTTTAGAAACATTTTCACACTAATTTAGCTTAGCATCAACATTCCAAATAGCGCTTAGATACAATTAAAAAATAGAACATAAAGTTAATCAGTTTATCATTAATTTAATTCTATTTTCTGTTTCTTGATAAATTAATCTAATGTAATTTTTGAATGAATAATTGTTTTCATTTCTATATCTTAGGAATTGATTTATTAATATTTTTACAAAAACTATTTATGAATTTAAATAATTCATATTTAAGAATTATATGATTATTAATGTAAGAACGCCGATTGGGAGGGAGATTTTTATTCCCTACCGTCGGGAAGGTCTAAGGTCTTAGCGTATGTGAGTGGCGGTTTTATGAGGCAGCAAAAACAAGTGTTTTTCAGAGGCAAACAGTTTATTCTGGATGATAATGCTTACATAAATTCTCTCGTTGGAAAGGTCCTGTGTTGTAGGAAATTTCGACGTCGATTCTGGTCTTGCGTCGTCGGGGTTTCAGTGGCGATCTGGTCCAGCATCGTAGGAAATTTCAGTGACTATCTAGTCCAGCATCGTAGGGGCCCCTGGACAGTGTTGAGCAAAAAGTTCGAAGTCTCAAAAGTCGATGCACCAAAGATGAAAGGATGCATGAACAAAAACGGAGATACATGAACACAAAAGAAGTCTAGTGGAAGTTTTGTTGTCTTTGAAATTGGTGCTTTTATAAAGTTTTCAGGACAGGCTTTTTGCTAATTGGATAGACCTTACATCACCGTTTTATAATTGGTCTTTCACATGTCTCCAGGTGTAAATGGAGCTTCATAAAGTTTGCGAGAAAGGTCGGCTGGAGATGGTTTATCCAACACCATCCTTTCGACTCTGATCACATTTAATTGTTGACTATGACACCTATGCTCATTTTGATATTTCTCTAGTTTCATTTTACTTTCTAAACTGTGTCTTAACTTTAATATTTTGAATTTTCTTCTTTTATCTAAAATTTTGTTTTTTCCATTATTCTCTATGAGCGTCGACGTCAAAGTCTGGTGTCACCGATTTGACACTTATATAATTTGCTTTCTTGACGATTGAACTTAACAAACTTTTTTTTTATATCTTTCCCTTTTGGGGGGGGCTATTTCCGGGGCCTCACATTAAAAGTAAAATTATTGTTTCAAAATTGCAAATAACTGTTGCTAATAATTAATTGATAGCTTTTCTTAGTCTTCTTTGTTCTATTTTCTATTAATACACTTATTATTTTGAGATACTCAAAATGAATGACTAGAAATTTATCAAGAAATTGGGAAGTAGGTGAAAAATGAGTTGCAAGATTTTATCTAGACAGACAGGCTAAAAAATAGAGTAAGTTAATAAAAAATGTATAAAAATCTATGTAAATGGAGCAAGTTTTATTTTCCACAATGATTTAATAATTAATTGAAAGTCTTCTCAGTTTGCCATAAATTAAATAAATTCATGTTACACTGTTTAGAAGTACATACAATTTTTCATTTTTAACAAAGGGATATGTGGACAAGAAAAGGTTGACAACTGCTGGTCTAAGAAATCATCTGTAACTACATGGGCTAGGCAAAAATTTATATGAAACTTATTTTATGTGGTAGCTGCTGACATGAAACTTTCATGTAAAAAAAAAGACCATACTGTAGGAATTAAGTTTTTTTTTTTAGCTAAATGTTTTACAAAATTCTATAATCAAAAATAAGGTTTTATTATGATGTTTGCATAGAACTTTTATAATTTTATTACATATTTCAATAGATTTTATCTTTTATAGGGAAGTAGCTTTATCAAATGAGGAGTTGCAATGGCTAATTGAAAAATTACTGAAAGTATTACAGGAAGTTGAAATGCAAGAAATTCCTACTTTAGTATATCAGTTACTTTTGTTATCTAGTAAGGTAAAAAATATTTTAAAGCATTTGAAAATTTTTTAATAATGGCCTATTCTGATAAATTAAATATAGTAGAATATGCTTATTGTAATTAGGAATATTGTTATAAGTTATCTAATGTTATCAGAATTAACATGTTCCAAAACATATATAGGTATCCCCTGATTTATAATGGTCCAAATTAAGACACCTTGCAAAGCGAAAAAATGTCAAAAATCATTAAAAAAACATAAAGTTAAATTAAAAAGATACAAAAAAAAATTTTGCATATAATTCTACAAATATATTCACATCAATAGTGCATACTTTTCTCAGTAGATGTCAAACCACTGTTATGCCACTGTTAGACAAGTTCAATGAAATGGCCCGATGTAGCTATTACAATTCAAGGACTTTGATTCAAACTAAGTGTTAATTTTTTGTCACTTTTTAAACAGTTGTAGTATGTATTATTTATTAAAATGTATATTTATGTAAATAATTACTAAAAATATGTACAGCTTTAATTATCAAAATATTATAATTTATGCATGAAAATATTTTGAGTGCTGGAATGTAACTTTTCAAACACTTTATAATTTGTATTTCATTTATGACATTTTTCCAGAAAGCTAACTCTGTCATAAACTCTGCATGTAAATTAACATGCAATTATAGACTTTATTTATTGTAATAAGAAGGCTGGCACTAGGGTGCTTGGTGTCCTTATGCAAGAATTTATATGGCACTCTAGCATTATTGTTGTTATAATGTTTAGCATTAATTGGTTATTTGTAATTAAAATAGGGCCTGTAATTTAAATTAAAAAATTTAAGTGTATTTATTATTATCAGAATGAAACTTTCCATGCTTTCATATTAGTGAAATCTTGAAAAAGTTCTATGATATTTAATTTTTCACATGCATCATGTTCTATTGAAATCATTGCTAAATTACCAGTTTTTCTTGTGTTATTGTTGATCTTAAATAGTTTTAACCTGGAAAATGATCATTCTTCTTTAGCAACACATACAGAAATAGTAAAAGTTCATAAAGCTATTGTTAGATTTGAGAAGATTAAATTATTTGTATAAATGAATTGCCAAGTATCAAAAAGGATTTTTCAGTTGTTTTAATTCAAAAATAAACAAGTTTTTAAAGGCATTTATTTTGTCATACAGATCATTTTCGTTTGTCTTTGTTGTCTTCATCAGTTAAATTATTTCTAAGTCCTTTCAATTTTTAGGTCTGTTTAATGAATTCAAATTGTACAGAAATTCAAAATGACCGTTATGATGTGGCTTATAATTTTTATAAGCAATATTCTCAACTTCTCAAAAGACCTGTTTAAAATAAAAGGTAAAAAAAAATTTTCCTTTAGAACTCAATGACAGGGATGCCTCACACAAAAATACACAAAACACCATTCATATAACTCAGGATTTTATAAACAATATATCTTGCCTTTTCAAAAGAACTGCTTAGTGAAAATGAAAAATTTCTCATTTTACATCCAAGGTACTCATCATTGGCACCCTTGGCATCAAGTATAAGTAACCTCTATGCATTGTGTAGGCTGCTTAATGCATTCCACCAGTCTTGGTCAATGGGTAAATTGGTAAATAGCTATTTTTAAGCTGTGCTTTCATGATATCAGTGTGAACATGTGGCTGATAACATGCAATCATTATTAGTTATTAATTGTCAGTCTTAGCTATTGTTTTGAATCTTAAATGTTAATCATTTGTTCACTTTACAGTAGTTTCAATTGATGGCATTTGCTATTATAATTGTGCTGGATGAATTACTATATAATTAATAATAATAATTATACTTAAAAGTCTTCAAGTTATACACTTCTTAATTGCTTTAATGTCAGGGTTAATAAAACTAGTTTTCACCGTAAACTTTTCCATTAATTGTCATCTTACTTACTCCCCTTAATGTTGACATCAGTTATCATCAGTGTACGTGAGTCCCAAAATAATTACAATAAGCGGATTCTATCTTATTCAAAAAGAAATTATAAATATTGTAACTATATTTACAATTAATATCTTTAAATAAACAAATAAGGTAAATTTTAATAAATCAAGAAGTCCTATTTATTTATAACTATTTAGTTATAAAACCACAGACAAAAGATAGTATCTAAACCCAGGAGTCTATAATTAGAAGATGAATCTCTTATATTATACATGAGATAATAGTAATTTAATTTACTTAATTGTTGACTTAATGGAAAAATACAGTATTTATATAATCATTTAAAAAGAAAATAGATTAAGTAAATTGTTAGAATCTCTGTCAAGATTAAAGTCACTTTGATCAAAGGAAAAATTCTTTGCATGGATTTCACTTATCTGATATTTTATTAATTTATTGTTTAAAATAACCTAAAATTAAACTTTCATAATTTGAGAAGCCAATATTCCATGATAAAATTTTATTTGTATAATTAAATATTTATTTAAATAAACATAAGTAAATGCAGAAAAAAATTTAAAATATTTTAAAATGGAAGATTGAGATACAAAATTCTTAATTAAATATTGAATAGGTTATTAAAATTGAAAAATTAATTTTTAAATGATTTTCCTCAGTTTACATTGCTTATGAAAAGTTATTTTCAGGGATTTCGAAAACAGTTGTTGGAGAAAATATTATTTTATTTTAAAAATCAAGCTGATATTTTAAAGAAACAGAAGTTAAACAGAGATAGGTAACTGCAAGCATGATAAAATTATGAATGATTTGTCAAATCTTTTTCATTCTATTTTAATTTATTATTAATGTACGTTGTATCAAAATAGAAATAAGGAGAATGAGTCCATGCACAGCAATGACACAATTAAACATATTGAAGGAACTGTTATATTACATATCACATTTGCTGCCAAGCAGGATCAAGAAATTGGTAAAGAATTTGTGAAATTATTAAAGGTACTAAATAAATCTTTTATTTATATTTGTATTATAAATTTTAATTTATGAAAGTTATTGAAAATCATTTTTTTTATGTCTATNTGAACGATGTTTCCACTCTTTTGCCGTTGCCAATGACAATCTGCTATTTTTAGAATATATTATTAGTATATCTGAAGTACAGAGCTCCTGTTGGGATTCGGCTTGCTTCCTTGTTTATTACGTACATCATTAAGTGCACGGTATTTACATTTATTCAAGTGTTGTGCAAATCATGGCTTCTAAAAAAAAACAGAAAGGTGATTTCAATTGAAACAAAGCAAGAAATCATCAGGAGTGAAAGTGGGGTAAAACAGTGTAACCTTGTCAAAGAGTTTGGCAAGTAGTATCGAAAGAGAGTCTATCGATACTACGTGCATAAATTTTAAAGAGGAGATGCTTTTGTTGATGGCCTGGCAAGAGTTGATTCACAACACGATTTAGCCGCCCGTTATATCCGAGTAGGCAGACTCGGCACGCATGCACGTCGTATAAGTTTGAAAGAACGATTCGAACTGAAGATCGAACTTATTTTAACGACATTCGTTATTCGAATTTACGAGCTAAAACCGTAGGAACCTGATGAAGAGCCCAGAAGGGGTTCGAAAACGTTTGTTTTTCGTTATTTTTCATCGTTTATCGTACCACACCGTAAATTGGTTCAGTGTATGTGATTATTATTGAGGTGTGGTGAGTAGTTTGTTTTTAGAGTTTGGTCTCAGCAAGACCACCATCAACACCATTTTAAGCAAGAAAGATGCCATCAAGTCAGCCAAGGTTGCCAAGAAGTCTCCAAGATCTTCCATATGAAGTGTAGGTCTTCACTCCATGATGAAATGGAAAGGCTGTTAATGGTTTGGATCAATGACAGACAGGTGAGAGGTGATATTTCTACCAAGAAGTTATCTGTAAAAAAGCCAAACTCATCTATGATGAGTTGAAGAAAAACACTCCTGGAACAAGCAGCAGCAGTGTCAATGAAGAAGAAGTTTAAAGCCAGCAGGGGGTGGTTTCTTAGGTTCAAGAAAAGGTGTGGAATCCACAGCATCACCATGCATGGTGAGGATGGCAGTAATGACAAGGAAGAAGCAGAGAAGTTCTCTGTTGATTTTTAACAATTTCTCAAGAATGAAGGATACTGCCTGCAACAAGTTTTTAATGCTGACGAAACTGGTCTTTTCTGGAAGAAGATGCCCAACAGGACCTTCATTATCAAGGAGGAAAAGACTTTGCTTGGACACAAGCCCATGAAGGATAGGCTGACACTCCTTTTTGCAGCCAATGCCAGCGGAGACCTGAAGATCAAACCCCTGCTGATTTACCATTCTGAAAATCCCAGGGTTTTCAAGAAGAACCACATTGTCAAGTCCAACCTGTCTGTCCATTGGAAGTCTAACCAAAAAGCCTGGGTTACACAGGTTGTCTTCAAGGAATAGATCCTGGAAACCTTTGCTCCTGCTGTAAAGAAATACCTGCCGGACAAAGAGCTGCTGCTCAAAGCCCTGCTGATACTGGACAATGCCCCTGGTCACTCAAAAGATCTGGAGGACATTCTGGAAGAAAACTATCTTTTCATCAAGGTGCAGTATCTGCCAGCAAACACCACTGCCATCCTTCAGCCAATGGATCAGCAAGTCATTGCCAACTTCAAAAAAACTGAACACCAGAGCTCTCTTCATGAAGGTGTTTGAAGAATGTCAGCTTTGTGGAGACATGACCGTCCAAAAGTTCTGGGAAGAGAAGTTTGATGTTCTTGTGGCAATCAGACTCATCCAGAAGGCCTGGGGAGAAGTCATGCAGAAGACCCGCAATTCAGCCTGGAAGAGGCTTGTTCTTGAATGGACCCAAGAAGAACCAGCTGAAGATACAGAAGTGGTGCAGGAGATCATCTTGACAGCCCAAGAGTTGGATTGGAGGTGGAGGATGTGGAGGAGCTCATTGAAGAATACCAAGAAGAGCTCCAAGAACTTCTACCCCAGGAACATGATGAAACTCAAAGGGAAGCTTCATCTGATGATGAGGAGGAGCAATCCAATCAACCAATTTCAACTGCTTCCATCAAGGACTTCCTTGTCAAATGGGGAGTGTTTATCAACACTCACTATCCAAACACAGCTGAGGCCAACAGGATCAATGAGCTCTACAATGACACCCTTGCCCATCATTTCGGACATGTGTTGAAGAAGAGAGAGAAACAGACCACCTTGGACATGTTTTTCAAGAAGCCAGCTGCCAAAAAGAAAGGATGGAACAAGAGGAGTTGACCCTCCAAGCCCCGATAGCCTCTCCTGAATATGACTCCGATTAAAAAACAATAAAAAGAGACCTGCTGCAATGTGTAAAAAGTGTGTGTCTGTATGAATGTGTGAAGAAAGTGTTCCTCCACCTCCTCCTCACAACATCTCCTCACCTGGCATAATTGGTGACTGCTCTATTTTCATTTTTTGTATGGTACAGTACAGTTATTTTATGCTGCAGAATGAATTATATGTTTTAACATGTATTTCTATGGGAAAATGCATTTCGTATAATGGACTTTTCACTTAACGGATGTGCACCTGAAACGGATTAAGTATGCTATACGAGGCACCACTGTATACTGATTCCTTATACTATGCCAGGCCAAAGTTAAGACCTAACTATAGAAAACAAATGTTTTGTGTATGTATCTATGTTCAAAAATTTCCTGACTGTGTGACACGTTTTTAGTATGGCAGGTTTCTGCAGTGTGATATACAGTAGAGCGTCATTTATCCGAATCAATTGGGGACTGGGGTTGTTCGGATAACTTATTTTTCGGATAACCAATTATGTACGAAAAAATATATTAATTTATCCCGTGTTGAAATTTTTCTCCGTTGCGTGTCGCTTTGCGTTGAATTTTCGTCGATGTTAAGCCTAACGAAGACTATTGTATCGTTAAAAATTATTTTTTTATTTTGTACAAACAAAATAAATATATTGAAAAATATAATACTTCAGAAGTTAATTTAGTATCAAAAACGTAAAATATTTGAGTAGCCGAAGACATAGCCAAAGATTACAGCGCCACAGAACTGGCGAAAATTTAAATTTGTTGACTGAAATTCCTTCGGATAACCGACATTTCGGATAACTGACCTTCGGATAAACGATGCTCTACTGTATATACTTTTGTAAATTATATGTTTTGAGATATGTGTAGTGTGTTTGGTAGGATGCTGTGCAAGAAAGGATAATTGGCACAATAAGTACCTTAGCCATTCTCCACAGATGCTTTATTATTACTATTATTGTTATTATATATTGTGATTATAATAATTTTAAGAATTGAAAGTTTTAAATAAACTATAAATGCAATTTTTAATTTAATTTAATTCTGTTAATGCAAATTTCATATTTTAAATAACATAAATAAGAATTTAATCATTTTTCTTGATAAATGTAGACATTTTTGATATTGAAATATATGTAGTGAATGTGAGTTAAGAAAGATTCTGTACAACTTGAGAAAATTTGTTACTGTTGAAAATTAATATTATTTGTTATAATTATTTCAAAATTTTAATTCAATTTTTTTAAAAATTTTAAACTTTGTATGATTATTTTTTCAGGTGTTAGAATAATAATATATAATGTTTTTATTATGACCAAGACAAAACCTTTCTCACTTGTTTCTAGCCTTTTATACATGAGTATGAACATACGACATTCTAACAGACCACAGTGTACCTGAAGAAGACCTATTAAGAAGGCCGAAAACATTTGTACTTGTGTATAAAAGGCTAGAAACAAGTGAGAAAGGTTTTGTCTTGGTCATCTTAAAATAGTTCTAGCTCCAAATGCATAGAAATATTTTTATTAATGATTAATTTGATCAAGTTATTAAGTTAAGTGATTGCATTATTTTAAGATCAGTAACTTTCATTATTAGTTTATCATATAGAGACTGAAGTGGATAAGAGAATATATCAACATACAATAAAATGTACTATAAAGTATTATTGCAGTTGAGAATTGAACTGATATCCACATATGAATATAAGGAATATTATAATTTAAAATTAGATTTTAAAGATTTTTATAAGCAAAATATCTTATTTTGTGAATTTACAAATTTTTATGTATTATTTTATTGAATTATTAATTCAAAAAAATAGAATTTGATGTTTTATTGAATTTATTTTTTTCTTTTAAACAGATGGTTGGAGATTGTGCCTAAAGTTTTAACAACTTTAACTTCTCGAAATATTGTATCTCAAAATAATATAGATATGACTGGTACAGAATACAGATCTCATTTAATAAAATGCCTCTGTTTAAACAAGTAAATTTTAATTTCTTATTTAACATTAGTTTTCATTATTTAATCACAAAATAAATCTTTTTAGATGGGAACCAGAATGTGCAGTCCAAGTGGCTTCAACATTTAGGTAAGAATCCAGAATATTTTATCATTTTAGTTACTTAAAAAATTTATTTTTAAAAAATTATCCAATAAACCTACATAAAAAATATACTTACATAAAATGGTATTATATTCAGATAATAAGGAATCAGCTGCTAAGTTATGGTAATCAAAATATTTATTTTTTTAGAAACATTTTCACACTAATTTAGCTTAGCATCAACATTCCAAATAGCGCTTAGATACAATTAAAAAATAGAACATAAAGTTAATCAGTTTATCATTAATTTAATTCTATTTTCTGTTTCTTGATAAATTAATCTAATGTAATTTTTGAATGAATAATTGTTTTCATTTCTATATCTTAGGAATTGATTTATTAATATTTTTACAAAAACTATTTATGAATTTAAATAATTCATATTTAAGAATTATATGATTATTAATGTAAGAACGCCGATTGGGAGGGAGATTTTTATTCCCTACCGTCGGGAAGGTCTAAGGTCTTAGCGTATGTGAGTGGCGGTTTTATGAGGCAGCAAAAACAAGTGTTTTTCAGAGGCAAACAGTTTATTCTGGATGATAATGCTTACATAAATTCTCTCGTTGGAAAGGTCCTGTGTTGTAGGAAATTTCGACGTCGATTCTGGTCTTGCGTCGTCGGGGTTTCAGTGGCGATCTGGTCCAGCATCGTAGGAAATTTCAGTGACTATCTAGTCCAGCATCGTAGGGGCCCCTGGACAGTGTTGAGCAAAAAGTTCGAAGTCTCAAAAGTCGATGCACCAAAGATGAAAGGATGCATGAACATAAACGGAGATACATGAACACAAAAGAAGTCTAGTGGAAGTTTTGTTGTCTTTGAAATTGGTGCTTTTATAAAGTTTTCAGGACAGGGTTTTTGCTAATTGGATAGACCTTACATCACCGTTTTCTAATTGGTCTTTCACCTGTCTCCAGGTGTAAATGGAGCTTCATAAAGTTTGCGAGAAAGGTCGGCTGGAGATGGTTTATCCAACACCATCCTTTCGACTCTGATCACATTTAATTGTTGACTATGACACCTATGCTCATTTTGATATTTCTCTAGTTTCATTTTACTTTCTAAACTGTGTCTTAACTTTAATATTTTGAATTTTCTTCTTTTATCTAAAATTTTGTTTTTTCCATTATTCTCTATGAGCGTCGACGTCAAAGTCTGGTGTCACCGATTTGACACTTATATAATTTGCTTTCTTGACGATTGAACTTAACAAACTTTTTTTTTATATCTTTCCCTTTTGGGGGGGGCTATTTCCGGGGCCTCACATTAAAAGTAAAATTATTGTTTCAAAATTGCAAATAACTGTTGCTAATAATTAATTGATAGCTTTTCTTAGTCTTCTTTGTTCTATTTTCTATTAATACACTTATTATTTTGAGATACTCAAAATGAATGACTAGAAATTTATCAAGAAATTGGGAAGTAGGTGAAAAATGAGTTGCAAGATTTTATCTAGACAGACAGGCTAAAAAATAGAGTAAGTTAATAAAAAATGTATAAAAATCTATGTAAATGGAGCAAGTTTTATTTTCCACAATGATTTAATAATTAATTGAAAGTCTTCTCAGTTTGCCATAAATTAAATAAATTCATGTTACACTGTTTAGAAGTACATACAATTTTTCATTTTTAACAAAGGGATATGTGGACAAGAAAAGGTTGACAACTGCTGGTCTAAGAAATCATCTGTAACTACATGGGCTAGGCAAAAATTTATATGAAACTTATTTTATGTGGTAGCTGCTGACATGAAACTTTCATGTAAAAAAAAAGACCATACTGTAGGAATTAAGTTTTTTTTTTTAGCTAAATGTTTTACAAAATTCTATAATCAAAAATAAGGTTTTATTATGATGTTTGCATAGAACTTTTATAATTTTATTACATATTTCAATAGATTTTATCTTTTATAGGGAAGTAGCTTTATCAAATGAGGAGTTGCAATGGCTAATTGAAAAATTACTGAAAGTATTACAGGAAGTTGAAATGCAAGAAATTCCTACTTTAGTATATCAGTTACTTTTGTTATCTAGTAAGGTAAAAAATATTTTAAAGCATTTGAAAATTTTTTAATAATGGCCTATTCTGATAAATTAAATATAGTAGAATATGCTTATTGTAATTAGGAATATTGTTATAAGTTATCTAATGTTATCAGAATTAACATGTTCCAAAACATATATAGGTATCCCCTGATTTATAATGGTCCAAATTAAGACACCTTGCAAAGCGAAAAAATGTCAAAAATCATTAAAAAAACATAAAGTTAAATTAAAAAGATACAAAAAAAAATTTTGCATATAATTCTACAAATATATTCACATCAATAGTGCATACTTTTCTCAGTAGATGTCAAACCACTGTTATGCCACTGTTAGACAAGTTCAATGAAATGGCCCGATGTAGCTATTACAATTCAAGGACTTTGATTCAAACTAAGTGTTAATTTTTTGTCACTTTTTAAACAGTTGTAGTATGTATTATTTATTAAAATGTATATTTATGTAAATAATTACTAAAAATATGTACAGCTTTAATTATCAAAATATTATAATTTATGCATGAAAATATTTTGAGTGCTGGAATGTAACTTTTCAAACACTTTATAATTTGTATTTCATTTATGACATTTTTCCAGAAAGCTAACTCTGTCATAAACTCTGCATGTAAATTAACATGCAATTATAGACTTTATTTATTGTAATAAGAAGGCTGGCACTAGGGTGCTTGGTGTCCTTATGCAAGAATTTATATGGCACTCTAGCATTATTGTTGTTATAATGTTTAGCATTAATTGGTTATTTGTAATTAAAATAGGGCCTGTAATTTAAATTAAAAAATTTAAGTGTATTTATTATTATCAGAATGAAACTTTCCATGCTTTCATATTAGTGAAATCTTGAAAAAGTTCTATGATATTTAATTTTTCACATGCATCATGTTCTATTGAAATCATTGCTAAATTACCAGTTTTTCTTGTGTTATTGTTGATCTTAAATAGTTTTAACCTGGAAAATGATCATTCTTCTTTAGCAACACATACAGAAATAGTAAAAGTTCATAAAGCTATTGTTAGATTTGAGAAGATTAAATTATTTGTATAAATGAATTGCCAAGTATCAAAAAGGATTTTTCAGTTGTTTTAATTCAAAAATAAACAAGTTTTTAAAGGCATTTATTTTGTCATACAGATCATTTTCGTTTGTCTTTGTTGTCTTCATCAGTTAAATTATTTCTAAGTCCTTTCAATTTTTAGGTCTGTTTAATGAATTCAAATTGTACAGAAATTCAAAATGACCGTTATGATGTGGCTTATAATTTTTATAAGCAATATTCTCAACTTCTCAAAAGACCTGTTTAAAATAAAAGGTAAAAAAAATTTTCCTTTAGAATTCAATGACAGGGATGCCTCACACAAAAATACACAAAACACCATTCATATAACTCAGGATTTTATAAACAATATATCTTGCCTTTTCAAAAGAACTGCTTAGTGAAAATGAAAAATTTCTCATTTTACATCCAAGGTACTCATCATTGGCACCCTTGGCATCAAGTATAAGTAACCTCTATGCATTGTGTAGGCTGCTTAATGCATTCCACCAGTCTTGGTCAATGGGTAAATTGGTAAATAGCTATTTTTAAGCTGTGCTTTCATGATATCAGTGTGAACATGTGGCTGATAACATGCAATCATTATTAGTTATTAATTGTCAGTCTTAGCTATTGTTTTGAATCTTAAATGTTAATCATTTGTTCACTTTACAGTAGTTTCAATTGATGGCATTTGCTATTATAATTGTGCTGGATGAATTACTATATAATTAATAATAATAATTATACTTAAAAGTCTTCAAGTTATACACTTCTTAATTGCTTTAATGTCAGGGTTAATAAAACTAGTTTTCACCGTAAACTTTTCCATTAATTGTCATCTTACTTACTCCCCTTAATGTTGACATCAGTTATCATCAGTGTACGTGAGTCCCAAAATAATTACAATAAGCGGATTCTATCTTATTCAAAAAGAAATTATAAATATTGTAACTATATTTACAATTAATATCTTTAAATAAACAAATAAGGTAAATTTTAATAAATCAAGAAGTCCTATTTATTTATAACTATTTAGTTATAAAACCACAGACAAAAGATAGTATCTAAACCCAGGAGTCTATAATTAGAAGATGAATCTCTTATATTATACATGAGATAATAGTAATTTAATTTACTTAATTGTTGACTTAATGGAAAAATACAGTATTTATATAATCATTTAAAAAGAAAATAGATTAAGTAAATTGTTAGAATCTCTGTCAAGATTAAAGTCACTTTGATCAAAGGAAAAATTCTTTGCATGGATTTCACTTATCTGATATTTTATTAATTTATTGTTTAAAATAACCTAAAATTAAACTTTCATAATTTGAGAAGCCAATATTCCATGATAAAATTTTATTTGTATAATTAAATATTTATTTAAATAAACATAAGTAAATGCAGAAAAAAATTTAAAATATTTTAAAATGGAAGATTGAGATACAAAATTCTTAATTAAATATTGAATAGGTTATTAAAATTGAAAAATTAATTTTTAAATGATTTTCCTCAGTTTACATTGCTTATGAAAAGTTATTTTCAGGGATTTCGAAAACAGTTGTTGGAGAAAATATTATTTTATTTTAAAAATCAAGCTGATATTTTAAAGAAACAGAAGTTAAACAGAGATAGGTAACTGCAAGCATGATAAAATTATGAATGATTTGTCAAATCTTTTTCATTCTATTTTAATTTATTATTAATGTACGTTGTATCAAAATAGAAATAAGGAGAATGAGTCCATGCACAGCAATGACACAATTAAACATATTGAAGGAACTGTTATATTACATATCACATTTGCTGCCAAGCAGGATCAAGAAATTGGTAAAGAATTTGTGAAATTATTAAAGGTACTAAATAAATCTTTTATTTATATTTGTATTATAAATTTTAATTTATGAAAGTTATTGAAAATCATTTTTTTTATGTCTATAGAATAGTCAACATCAACCAGAACATTTGCTTTCTTCATTTTGCATTGCACTTGCTCTTTCAATTGCAAAAATGCAACGTTTTGAAGAACAAGTAAGATTATTTGTTATAATAAGTCTAAATAATTATAAATTTTTTAAACAAACTAATTTTAAATTTTAAAATTTACAAATTATTTTTATTTGATAAAAAATAGTTTTTTAAAAATAAGAAATATATTGTAAAAGATGGATCTCTTTTCAAATATTCTGAATAATAATTTTTAAAAATTGGTGAAATTATTAATTTAGTCTTTTTATGACTTGTAGATAATAGATGTCTTGAAACATATTATAATTTATTACTTTCAAGAAAATGAAAAGAAAACTCATTCATATTGGATGAGAGAAATGTTATCAGCAAATTATAATTTGTCAGCTCTAATTTTAGAAACAATTAAAACCAGGTATGCATTTATATTTGTATGGATCTGCCAGAAAATATATTGTTTTTCTTTCATATGATTAATTTTCATTCTTTAATTTTATTTTCAGTAATCTTTCCAGAAAATATATTTCAAATTTATTAAGAAATTTTGCTATGTTAATACACTATTGAGGATTCAAACTGGCTCTTTTATATATATATATGTTAATATCCATTCCATTCTGGTCTTTGCCTTTTCAGTATCAAGACGATGGCCAACAGTCTTCATTATCTGACAGAGACATTCCAAGTCTTCGGCCATGTCTTTGAGACTTTGCCTCTTCTTTTTAAGCAGGAGCTGGTGTACACACTGATGGAGTATGGTCTCCTGTAACAAGCCCTGCTTACCCAATTCACCAATAAATTTGATNGATGGCCAACAGTCTTCATTATCTGACAGAGACATTCCAAGTCTTCGGCCATGTCTTTGAGACTTTGCCTCTTCTTTTTAAGCAGGAGCTGGTGTACACACTGATGGAGTATGGTCTCCTGTAACAAGCCCTGCTTACCCAATTCACCAATAAATTTGATATTTCCCAACATTTTGTGCTTGGCAACAGCACGTTGCTCTTCCTCTTCTGCAGAAAGAAGGTTCTTATCAAAAGCTTCACTAGTCTTTCTTCTATTTTCAAATTTGTCTTGACACTTAGCTAAGAGAAGACGACGGAATGTATTACTGCTGTTGTTATTGTTGCTGCTATGACTACTTGAACTATTTGAAGGAAAGTCAAAATTTGGGGCTTCTTTACATAATTTATGGCATAACTGCGCACACATAGAACTGTACTTCGGTTCATCTAAAGCTTTGTCAAAGATCAGAAGTATTACACCTTTCAATATCTGAGTGGAGTCAAGTCCAATGCTGAGTAACTCCTCGCTCAGCTTGTGGAACTTCTCTGGTGTAAGCTTATTGAGGATGCCTCTGACTTTTCTGAAAACGAGATCATTTTTTTCTTCAGGGGTAATTGCATCTTGTTTTATGCTGCTTGGAGGTACCCATCTGCGAATGGTGGAGCCTACGCTAGTGGTTATTGGACAAGGAGGTTCGTCCCTTCCTCCTGAGCATCGAGAAGCACCCCCCAGTCCTCTCTGCCCATCCGTTGTTACGTTTAATATGACTAACACCACTAGCAAAATTGAGTCAAATGTTTTATGGCCAAGCTGATGGGTAGCTCCTACTATTAGAGGCAAAATATATGAATGAAGTTCAATTTTCACTCCAAAGCAGTCACTTTGTCCAAAATTACTATATATGTTAATATGCTCATTGACAAAAAGTTACACATCCACATAGAATTGTGTAATTACTGCAGTTAGATGTGTTAATATAGTTGTGGTCTGATTGCATGCCAGGTAATGTCATCAGAATACCTTAAAATTGATACCTCAGTAGCCTACAAAAAGGCTTCTAGAGGCTCAGTGTGTTCAGAATTTTTAGTGTCCCACTAAAAATTCTGTATCTGTTGCTTGAAGGTTTTCAAACACCAGACATGTCTGTATAATGATGCAGCCAAAGATATTATACACAACTGATGAGATTTGAGAAAGATTGCATCATTGAGCTGAGGAAAGCAGGTGGTGGTCATTTTGCTGAATTACTCTCTATTTTGTCCATTCTGGCTTGACTGAGAAGGTACTGGAGACAGTGGATATATACATGCAGGCTTATATACATGGTGAGCAAGCTCTGGACAGTCCAGACAGATGATCAGGAGAGATGATGATCCATTATGAAACATATATCAACAACTGCAACAGCATCTTTGTCCATCATCCAGAGACAGGTAGAAATCTCATGCCTGTCAATGGTACGAGTCTTTCCTTGTACCATTGGCAGGCAAATTTGCATACATGGTGACCACTGTGTGTCCTGCTCTTAGCACCCCAATATTAGCTTCATTTGCAGAGAAGCATGGATTGCTACAGAAATGAATTCTGGTTTGAAAATGAATGACTACCAATGATTTCAATCTTGCCATTACTATTTAGCAACATACTAGCCCCACTGCTAGTATGCTTGTTGTGGGAAGCCATCTCATATAATAATTGGTTACATCTAGTACTGTTATGAATAACACTAATGGCACAGTGGTATATTTTGTGTTGCCTTTTATGACAGGGCCACAAACAGCCACTTTCCAGCAAGATAATGCTTAGTTGCAAATAACTAGGGTTTCCCAAAAATGTCTGTCAACTTCTTTGGCCTGCATGATCTCTAGGTTTGTTACCTGTTATGAGACCAAATGGGATGCTAGCTTCAGCCATGTGTGAGTGTGAAGGATCTGGATTGGAAGTTGCAATATCTGCATGGAAATTGTCACAGGATACAATACCTGCATGACTCCATGCCTGACTGTATTGCTATATGTATCCACATTGTACAGGCAAGAAAATGCTATAAGATACTAAAAGATTTCTTTAAATTGTACCATTGTTCCACAGGAAATTGTTGCTTTGCTATGATATTATAATCCTTATCATCATTGTCATTATGTTCATACTAATAAAATTCCATTCAATTCTAAAATCACCTTTTTGATGCATAACTTTTTTGTCAATGAGACTTTCTATCTATAAGCTTTCTAAAGTGAAGAATCATTTGACACTGTTTTGATCAGATCAAAACACTAAAATTATTAGATTTTATATAATTTTTAATAATATCTGGTTATATGTAATTTTACAATGCAAAAAATTATAAAATTTTTATTTATTTACTTAATTTTAGTGAGAACTTTGTTTTAATTTTTTTTTTACCAGTTTTTCGATATTTGGGGAATTTTAGATGTTTTAATTCGATTAATTACAATTCAGACTCATTAATTACAATTGGAAGGCTACACACATTGCAACACATTGCAAGCTTGTAAAGATGAGAATACTATGTATGACTAATTTTAAAATTTATTGCTTGTAGCATTATGACTTTTGTTTAATGACTTATTGTAAATTTTCATAATGTAAATACTTCTAAAGATCTTGATAGTATGAGAAAAAGTCAGTGTGTCACAATATAAAATATAAATTCAGTTATTTAGTAAATTATATTCAATTTAAATTAAATTATAAATTATAAAATGTATTTTAAACTTTCTGAAAAATAAAATTTTGAAACTTTTTATAGCTTTAACCTTTCTGTTTATTATTGTTGATTTGAAGTATAGTTATAGAAAAATTAATACATTACAATTAGATATATTGTACTATTAATTACATTTCAGTAAATTTGGTTGGGATTATGTCACGCAAAGTTTAGTTAAACTTGGATTTACACTTATGGATTCATTTGGTCCAAAAGGAACATTTGGTAAAATACCCGATATAGGTGTATTTCATACTGCATATACTCCAAATGAAAATGCATGTTCTTTAGGAGCTGAGATATTGCAAGAAACATTTAAGGTTTGAAATATTTTTTTAATATACAAAATTATATATATACTTTTTATTTAATTTAATGTGAAAGTAAATTAAAATATATTAATGTGTTATCTAGATTCATGAAACTGTTAGAGAAGAAATTCTTCAGCAAATTTTAAATCGTGTAATAACCAAAACTTCAAGACCAGTTTTTCATTATATTGGTAAATTTTTATTCACTTTAAAATTTACTTTTTCATTTCTGTTTTATAATGTATGCAATATTTATTCATTACATTTCTTGCCTTTTGACTTCAGTTTAATTTACATAGTATTTAATTTATGAAAAACTTAATATGTAGTCTAAATTAATCTAGAAAATGACTACATTATTGCTTAGAGTTTTTTGTGTAATTTATAGTTAATATATTTTTACATTTTTTTCTATTTATAGTCATATCAACTGCTTTTAGTTTATATCTGCTTGCTCATTTTTCTGCAGTGTATTCTATTTGAACAGTTGTAGATGTTCCTCTGATAACTCAACTGGAGTACTTGTTATTTTTAGTTTTTTTGCAGCTTTTATAATTTTCTTTACTAAAAAACTATATTTTTAATTTAATTTTATCTATAGCTTGGGTTCCCAACTTGTGTTCCGTGGAACCCTAGAGTTTTACCAATAAGAATTTCGGGTGCCACAATAAAATTCGTTGAGTCTAGTGATGTATGAATATGCCAATGCAGATTTGGGACATGAGGTGTAATTGTTCTAGTCTCAGATCGAGTCCTTGTATGACGATACAAGGACTCAATCTGAGACTATACACATGCTAAAGTTATTTATAATTTTATAAATGGTGGGGACCAATTTATTGGTGACAGAACAAACCAAAATCATGATATAATGTTTGACAAGATAATGGAAACCATAAAAACAGTAAAATATATGTTGTCACTATTGCACACAAATAACATAAATTTAAAAATAAATTTGATTTACAATTTGAAAATTTCAAAACAACTTTTAAATGGTTTTTAAATGGTTTTTAAAAATATTGTTTTAATTTTCAATTGATTCGATTTCAATTTTAATTAATTAATTTTGATTATATTTAATTGTAGTTTTACTTTTGGTTTCAGTTTTGGTGCAAAGTGACTACCTAGTATGCTTTAATTCATTTATATCTGCAGGGTTCCTACAGTTTTTATTAAGGTGAAAAGGGTTCTGTGATAAAAATAAATTGGGAACCTCTGATATAGATTATGCTAGTTATCAAAAATGCAAAATGCCTTGATCCAAAACAAATATAAATTTATCTCTGTAAGTAGCATAAATAAATATGAATCTACTTATATATGGGTTGTGTATCATAGATTTTGATAGCAATTTGTATTATAATAGTGTTTTAATTAGGGATTTATCAAAGTAAGAGGGATTTATCAAAGTAATAGGTTGTGATTCAGTTATAAAACAGCAATGTTAATAATGAGATATAATAATGCAGTTATCAATGCAGTGAAAAACAACTCTCACTGGTTTCAGATGTGTTTGGTCTTTTTGTGAGAACAAGATAAAGGTATTTATTTTTATGAGAACAAGATAAAGTTATTTATTTTTATGATAAGAACATTCTTGGTAGTATTAATAAATGAACATTTAATAAAAAGATTTTAGAAAATTTTTAAGGATAGATTTACTTTCTAGTTTATGAAGTTTTTTAGAGAGGATTTTGTCAATGTTTTGGTGCAATTAGGATATGTTCAATATCAACAGTTATGGCACTCTGGTATAGCTACACATTAAAAGATACAATACTGGAAAGTTGATTAAAGAGAAGTTAGGCTGAGAATGATTGAATAAAATATTTGTAAAGAATTATTTTGTTTAAACTTTTAATTTTAAAAATATTGACATTCACTTTAAAATTTATTACTAGAATTTTGATTTTTAGGCAGTTTTAACCATGGAAAGAGATAGGTGAATAGGCTGTTAATATCCTAATTTCAGACAGTAAAATTGCCAAAATAGGTACCTGCAATATGAATTTTTATTCATGTTGACATTCTCAGTACTGTACATAACAATAAGTTGTTTCATATGTTCAGCTATTTTATTGACACCTTTTTTTTATTTAACATGTTTTTATAAACTAAAAATGACCATTCAACATCATATGACATGACTGGAGCAAATTTAAGATTTGAGATAAGTTCAATGGGCACAGAAATTATATTTATTCATAGTTAATTTTTTACATTTATGCATAATTCAATTTTGTTGAATTTATTATTTGACTGAAAAGTACTAAATCATCATAATATAATTTTTATTAAGATATATATATATATATTTAGGCTAAATTTTATAACAAATTTGTATAAATAAAATCAAATTCATATTAAAAATTTATATATATTTTTTATTGCATTAGATGTTATAGCTAAAACCATAAAGGCAGCCCCTCAACAACTATTAGATATTTTAAGAAAATTTCGGGAGATTTTAGATTATGTACCATTCCTTCCTTATCCTTCAGCAATTACATTTTTAAGAGCATTAACTCCATTATTAAAAATCAGTTCTCCTTTGAAAGATGCTCTGATGGTTGTTTTGCGAAAAGCATTGTTTCATAGGTAAGTATTTTTATTGTTTTTAATAATTGACATATTTTTGAATAATTAAATTACAAAATTATTTGTTATTATAAAATAATTGTCTTTTCTAGAGAAATAGATGCTCGTAAAGTTGCTATAAGTGGTTTTTTAATAGTTTTAAGGAATTTCAAATTACTTGAAGGATCGGGAATTCAAAACTCCTACAGTCAATCTTCTATATCTCTTAGTCAAGTATATTTGTTTACACATTTTTAAATATCAGTTTAATTTATTTAACATTAAAAAATCTTTATATAAATGACTAATTTAAAATGAAATAATTTTTAATTAAAAATATTAAATTTTAAATATGTGTAACTTCACTTTTATATTGTATTTATAAATAATCTTGAAATTATATAAATATTTATATATATTAATGCAAATTAGATAAATATATTTTTTAATAATTAAAAAATAAAAAGTATACACTTACTAACTGAAACTTTGAACTGTTTAATATTCATGATTGTTCAGATTAGTTCAATTGTATATAAAGAAATGGAAATCAGGAATTATTACAGAAAAATACACACACTCATATATATATGCATGTGTGTGCATGTGTGTGTGTTTTAATGTATATATTAATATTAAAATTTAAAAAGTTCACAGATTAAAAAAATTTGTAATTTCTTTTGTTTTTGGTTAAAGAATTTATCAGCAAAAGCTTTTACATGAAGTTTCTGTAATGTCAGGATCTGGTGAGCAAGTCTTTTTTTTTCAGAAGTTTACTGATTGCATGTGTTAAACTGGCTAATGCATTTCCATGTTTCAATTTCTTGATGCAGTTCTTTATAGTTTTCATTTTTGTCAATATTGGTAAAATTTAATAGATTCCAAATTTATTAAATTTGAATCTTTTCCCTTTTTTCCCTCCATCTATCTAATGAATGGATTTTCATTTTTATCTGCTTTCTTTAAAAATAAAATCTCACAAAAAATAACAAATTTAATTAATGACTTTTTAAAGGAGTTTCCATTATTCTATTTAATGCATGGAACTACACTTAAAATCATCCAAACATCCAAACTTTATTGAAAATATTTTAATATATATATTATATTACTGTATATGTACTATATATATGTGGACAAAATTGATTTGAATTAGCACAGGTTCAAATTAGCGAGTGTCTTGTATTTTGAAATTGTCCATTTTTTTTCTATCAGCAAAGCACAGTGTACTGATATTGTAATAATTTAAGAAAGCATTATTTCAGTTGTGAGACTATTTATTATTTAAGTAGGAAATTTTGTATTTTGATTTTCTTGTAATATTATTTAATACTTATCCTGTCTCAAATTAACAGATTTAATACAATAAACATTTACTAAGTCTTTCATCTTTCGATATATGTTTAAATAAATTCATTATTTAGATTTTTGAAAGAAAGAAAGAGGGGTTTGAATTCTGTAGGATCAGAGCAAAATTTGATGATCTAAAAGTGAGTAGATTTTGATTCACTTTGTGAGAGAATTTTGGAGTACTTCACTTCAAGGAAGAGAACTATTTTGAATTATAAGAAATTCACTCAAATGTTGGTTCAATGAATATTAACTCAATAGCTCTGCAATGACTTCTTTCAATATTCTACTTTCTCAATTCTTAACATTTTTCAAACTTACTTTCTTTGTTAAGATGAACAATATTTTTAATAATGGACAATTCATTTTCTCATAAAATAAGACTTTCTACAACCAATAATTGGTGCAAAATACAACTAAGCAATAAAAAACAAATGCTTTCATAACCCGTTCTGGATTCTTCTTTGGGTTTTCTTAATTTTCATTTCTCATTGTTTTAGTTTGAAATTTGAAATGTTGAAACTTTACACAGTGTATCCTACCTAAGCTTTTATTTTTTTCTGAAGATGCACTTTTTATCAATTTCTCAATACTATCTTTTCATATATATTATTCTACATATCTTTGTTTTAAAGTCTGATTACTGATTAATCTTTGATCAACCAGCGTGTAAGTTGTCTTGTATTATATAATCTCTCACTGGTTTCAGATGTGTTTGGTCTTTTTGTGAGAACAAGATAAAGGTATTTATTTTTATGATAAGAACATTCTTGGTAGTATTAATAAATGAACATTTAATAAAAAGATTTTAGAAAATTTTTAAGGATAGATTTACTTTCTAGTTTATGAAGTTTTTTAGAGAGGATTTTGTCAATGTTTTGGTGCAATTAGGATATGTTCAATATCAACAGTTATGGCACTCTGGTATAGCTACACATTAAAAGATACAATACTGGAAAGTTGATTAAAGAGAAGTTAGGCTGAGAATGATTGAATAAAATATTTGTAAAGAATTATTTTGTTTAAACTTTTAATTTTAAAAATATTGACATTCACTTTAAAATTTATTACTAGAATTTTGATTTTTAGGCAGTTTTAACCATGGAAAGAGATAGGTGAATAGGCTGTTAATATCCTAATTTCAGACAGTAAAATTGCCAAAATAGGTACCTGCAATATGAATTTTTATTCATGTTGACATTCTCAGTACTGTACATAACAATAAGTTGTTTCATATGTTCAGCTATTTTATTGACACCTTTTTTTTATTTAACATGTTTTTATAAACTAAAAATGACCATTCAACATCATATGACATGACTGGAGCAAATTTAAGATTTGAGATAAGTTCAATGGGCACAGAAATTATATTTATTCATAGTTAATTTTTTACATTTATGCATAATTCAATTTTGTTGAATTTATTATTTGACTGAAAAGTACTAAATCATCATAATATAATTTTTATTAAGATATATATATATATATTTAGGCTAAATTTTATAACAAATTTGTATAAATAAAATCAAATTCATATTAAAAATTTATATATATTTTTTATTGCATTAGATGTTATAGCTAAAACCATAAAGGCAGCCCCTCAACAACTATTAGATATTTTAAGAAAATTTCGGGAGATTTTAGATTATGTACCATTCCTTCCTTATCCTTCAGCAATTACATTTTTAAGAGCATTAACTCCATTATTAAAAATCAGTTCTCCTTTGAAAGATGCTCTGATGGTTGTTTTGCGAAAAGCATTGTTTCATAGGTAAGTATTTTTATTGTTTTTAATAATTGACATATTTTTGAATAATTAAATTACAAAATTATTTGTTATTATAAAATAATTGTCTTTTCTAGAGAAATAGATGCTCGTAAAGTTGCTATAAGTGGTTTTTTAATAGTTTTAAGGAATTTCAAATTACTTGAAGGATCGGGAATTCAAAACTCCTACAGTCAATCTTCTATATCTCTTAGTCAAGTATATTTGTTTACACATTTTTAAATATCAGTTTAATTTATTTAACATTAAAAAATCTTTATATAAATGACTAATTTAAAATGAAATAATTTTTAATTAAAAATATTAAATTTTAAATATGTGTAACTTCACTTTTATATTGTATTTATAAATAATCTTGAAATTATATAAATATTTATATATATTAATGCAAATTAGATAAATATATTTTTTAATAATTAAAAAATAAAAAGTATACACTTACTAACTGAAACTTTGAACTGTTTAATATTCATGATTGTTCAGATTAGTTCAATTGTATATAAAGAAATGGAAATCAGGAATTATTACAGAAAAATACACACACTCATATATATATGCATGTGTGTGCATGTGTGTGTGTTTTAATGTATATATTAATATTAAAATTTAAAAAGTTCACAGATTAAAAAAATTTGTAATTTCTTTTGTTTTTGGTTAAAGAATTTATCAGCAAAAGCTTTTACATGAAGTTTCTGTAATGTCAGGATCTGGTGAGCAAGTCTTTTTTTTTCAGAAGTTTACTGATTGCATGTGTTAAACTGGCTAATGCATTTCCATGTTTCAATTTCTTGATGCAGTTCTTTATAGTTTTCATTTTTGTCAATATTGGTAAAATTTAATAGATTCCAAATTTATTAAATTTGAATCTTTTCCCTTTTTTCCCTCCATCTATCTAATGAATGGATTTTCATTTTTATCTGCTTTCTTTAAAAATAAAATCTCACAAAAAATAACAAATTTAATTAATGACTTTTTAAAGGAGTTTCCATTATTCTATTTAATGCATGGAACTACACTTAAAATCATCCAAACATCCAAACTTTATTGAAAATATTTTAATATATATATTATATTACTGTATATGTACTATATATATGTGGACAAAATTGATTTGAATTAGCACAGGTTCAAATTAGCGAGTGTCTTGTATTTTGAAATTGTCCATTTTTTTTCTATCAGCAAAGCACAGTGTACTGATATTGTAATAATTTAAGAAAGCATTATTTCAGTTGTGAGACTATTTATTATTTAAGTAGGAAATTTTGTATTTTGATTTTCTTGTAATATTATTTAATACTTATCCTGTCTCAAATTAACAGATTTAATACAATAAACATTTACTAAGTCTTTCATCTTTCGATATATGTTTAAATAAATTCATTATTTAGATTTTTGAAAGAAAGAAAGAGGGGTTTGAATTCTGTAGGATCAGAGCAAAATTTGATGATCTAAAAGTGAGTAGATTTTGATTCACTTTGTGAGAGAATTTTGGAGTACTTCACTTCAAGGAAGAGAACTATTTTGAATTATAAGAAATTCACTCAAATGTTGGTTCAATGAATATTAACTCAATAGCTCTGCAATGACTTCTTTNTGTACAGTTGACCCCCCTATAATGACCCTGTTGATAATTCCGTTTTATATGAATTCCATGTTGTATGAGTCACTTAGATTTTACAAATACGTGAGAACTTCTTCCACACTTCGTTTATCAGTTAATTCTTGCCAAGCCAAGCCGATATTGCTTGTGGCGTCCATGATGTTATATTTTTTCCAAAATTGCACCAAACAAACATAGATTTAAGAAAGTACACCTTTTAGTCGCCTTTTTCTGATTTGTTTGTGTTCGTAAATAATCGTATTATGTATGAATCAATAAAATGCCATGATAATTTAAATAAGCATAAATTTTCAGCTTTTTTTTAGGTTTTGATTAGATGGCATTATGTCGAATCAGTGTTAAGTGGGGTCTTACTGTATTTTGTATTAAATTTTTTACTATTGTTAAATAGTACAAATAAAAGATATTAATTATAACAAATACATTTTTGATTGAGTTATATTTTGGAATAAATATATTATTTTAAAAAAGTTTAACTTTTAATGATACTCAATATATATTTATTAATGCATTATATTTTAAAGACAAATGAATTGCCTTAAAGTTGTTATTTTTATTAGGGCCTTCATGAAGTCTTGTGTAGAAATCCTCAATTATCTGATGCTATCTTTGAACTTCTAATGAATCATGTAAGTATTTGTAACACATTTTTCAAATTTAAATTTTAATGTTTAAAAATATACTAATGATAATAGTTTTATAAATGCCTGAAAATATTTATTCTTTAATATAATTTAATTTTTCATAATTATTTAAGATTCACTATGAATTATTATTATTATTGTTGTTATTGGTGGTGTAATAAATTGCATCCTACTTGGTTGATATTGGTGCATAGTGCTATGCCAAATTTGTGGTTCAGTTACCAAAAGAGCTATAACTTTGTTTGTGCTTGTTATGTATCTGTGAGAATTTCTTGACTTTGTGATATCTGTTTAGTAATTGGCTGTTTCTGTATGTGATGTATATACTGTTGTTAAGACTAATTTTTCTCAACTTTCATGTTATATGATGCATGTGCAAGAGAGAACTATAGACATGATGCCTTCTTTGCCTCTGCAGGCATTTTATTTCCTGGACAAGTCCTGAATATTTATTAATTTTTTGGTGTGTATATTTTGTATGTTATGAGCGTTTGGGATGGACATGTATATGATGTAAATGATTTTTTGTTTTGTTTGTCAGTGAACGTGGTATCAGGTCTGTTGCAATGGTGTAGTTTTGTCTGTGATTATAGCTTGGTCATAGTATATTTTGTGTATGTTGTTTTCTAATTCTGTTTGTGGTGTATTTCTAGTATGGCAGAAAGGTATGCTTAACTTGAGTAAAATGAAGGCTTACAGGTTGTGTATTTTGTACACTAATAAATATGTGCTTTTTGCTATTTTTTTAAAATTGAATTCTAAAATTTCTTTAATACATTTATTTTTATTTTTTATTGCTATTTGTGGTGATATTTGTCAGAAATAAATGAAAATGGTAAAAATATTTAGAATGACTCAAGTCTTAAAATTAAGTCCCATTTTCTAGTACTTTTTCAAAATTTTGTATTTCAATTATTCTATCATATTGTTGATAGAATAGTAATTCTTCACATTTTGTAAGGGCATACTGACCTATAGTTTGCTATGGTGTATTTTATTTTACTAAAATTTAGATTCAAGTTACAAGTTTTTGATAGTGCACAATTATATTTCTAAAAAAAACAAGAGTAAAATAGTACACAGAAATATTTACTGCTAAACGAAATCATTTTCAGATGTAATGACTACATTTTAGTCATACCATAATGATAATTTACAATGTAATAATGTTTATAAAGCAGACAGCAAAGTTTTGAGTTTTTTTCATGATTTGCTGTACAGTTGACCCCCCTATAATGACCCTGTTGATAATTCCGTTTTATATGAATTCCATGTTGTATGAGTCACTTAGATTTTACAAATACGTGAGCCGTTCACAGCCCGGCCCACATATTTGTAAAATCTAAGTGACTCGTACAGCATGGAATTCATATAAAACAGAATTATCAACAGGGTCGTTATAGGGGGGTTGACTGTATAAGATTTTTATAAATGAATAAAATATAAACTGTTGCTAGATGTATTGCATATATTATATAATAAATTTAATTTTACTGTGTTTTATCTGATAGGATATATTTTATTCTAATAAAAATAATATAATTTCAGTTTGAAAAATATTATGAGAAAGATGAAGAAATTAGTCCACCTCTTAAATTAGAAAGCTGTATTGATTTGAAATGTGAAGAAATAACTATAATTGAACCTTTAGTAAGTAAATTTTAAATTATATTACATAAAAGTTTCAATTTACTTAAATAAATTAAAAATGTTAAGTATTTTTATATTAATTAAATTTTAAATTATTTTAAAATATCAATCAATCAATCAAAGTTTATTTAGCGTACAAGTCTTTCGTTTGTTACAAGGATGTGATTTATTAATACAACATGTTCTTCCACCACCATTAGAACCTTTTTCATATAGATATTTGACACTAGTTATCTAACATATAGTACAAACATTTACTAATTTACTCCAAGTTTTTATTCACAAGTTGCTTTGCATAGTTATAAACTAGTATATCCTGACACGTGTAGGATAAATTAGTTTGGCCTGAAATCGGGTTTGGCCGGTAACATATACAAAAATAACAAATTGTTCTTCAAATAATGTTTTTCTCGTAATGCATACATTGTTTTTTATGTGGATTATAGAACTTTAATGATGTTATGCGTGTTTTAAGTTTATGTTTAATTTTACTTATTCTTATGGTTGTTGTTCCAAATGACTAATGCTTTACCACATTCTGTGTGTGTTAAGGTGCAATGTCATGCATTTCAAATTAACGTTTTAAATTTACTTATTCTTAATGTTATGTTCCAAATGGTTAATGCTGTTATCGTTTAAATTTAAACCCGTTCAAAATCTGTTTGTTTTTAATTACTGCCTGAGGACGACAGTCATATTTATGTCGAAAGTGCTAGCTGGAAATAAAATGTTCCTTAAAGCACTCCTTAATGCCTTTGGTGCAAAGTTTTGCTGAGTTAGAACAATTGTTGGCATGACATCCATAGTACGTATGTAAACTTTAGGGATACGGATTTGTTATCTGTACCTTGCCAATTCTTTTTTTTTCATCACTTAATCATGAAATACTGGGAATTAAGAGAGTACATTTATACAATGTAGCTACTTATTTTAACAGAAACTCTGTGAGCATTTCAGAGAGAACTTAACTGATATGAATATTCTTCTCATCTCACTATTAATCTTTGGGTACAACAATGGTATAAAGATTCTATTTGTAACAAAAAGTCACCGGATTGGGATAATTTGATATGTTCACTGGAAATAGTGCCAAAGCCTTAACACGTGCACAGCAAATTAGAAAATTAGCTTATCACTCATCAAAGTTGATCAAAAAAAGATCTTACCGCTCATTGCACTACAGTTTTATTGAACAGAAATTTAGAAAATCTTACATTAATACCATGCAAAATCTAGCTTATTTCAATGTTTGAGAGACAGTGAACAAGTGAGGAGGACTATCTTGCATTGAAAACAATAGTACTTACTTAAAAAACATATTATGCATGCTTATTCCTGCACTAAAATAATTAAAGGGGATCATCAATTTAAGACAATTTAGCATAACATATAAATAATCTTACTGTAAAGGATAAAGCTAACACTAGACATTAAAAAAAAGTGAGCTTTATTTTGTTAAACATAAATTCAATTCAATTATTAAAAACCAATTGGATTGGTATATATTAAAACACTAAAAATAAAAATTTTTAGTTAAAAAACCAAGTAAAAATATACTCTTTCTATTTCGACTTCAAGGATTTTATAGATCAAAAAAAGGCAAACAAGTGACAAGGAATAACTTATTATTTTATTCAATTCAAATGCATTTTGCCATTAGGCCTCCTCAGTGGATATCAATTGCTGGTTACGCTTTATATCCAGCAGTCATTCCCAGCATGCATCAACAATCATTCCAACATTCAAATTAAGTACATTTGCATGTTTGGTGATGCAAAAATGTTCTACAATTTTTCTTTCTAAATTATTTTCTATTTTATACAATATTTTAGTATTTTTTCTATTTATGTTACAATTAAATTCTCTACAATGTAAAAACCATGCTGATTTCATTCTTCTCAATCTAATGGTCGCCTCATGTTCGTTTACTCTCAACTCCAATCTTCTTTCAGTTTCTCCAATGTAATAATTTGGACTTCCACATGTACAGTACATGCCATTCTATATACAACACCGGCAATCTCAAATTGGTCTCTGGGTGAATTTTCACTGTTTATTATACTGATAATGTTTGACATCTTATTCTTTTGATTTGCAACTATACATATAGAAAATTCTTTAAATATTGGTTTATATTTTTCAAAAATATTAGTAACATAAGGAAACTTTACATAAGAAATATTTTTTGTCATTTTTAACATTAAATCTACATTTTAAATATAAATTATACCACTTACAGAGGATATACTTCAGATAATCATTTAACAGAAATTTTTTAAACAATTGTTTTACTTCAATATCTATATTTTCTTGCAGGGTTGTTTGATTTAATATCTTTCTCAATTCCATAATAAAGACATTCTTTTTATTTTCTATAGGACAGAAAGATTTATAATTAATAGTTTTACTATTATTACATAGTTTTTCATACTTACTAAATGATATACTTCTTTCTTCTCTTTTTATAATGATATCTAAGAAATTCATTTCATTTTGTTGTTCATCTTCCCTTGTAAATTTTAAATTTTTATGTAATCCATTTGCATATTCTTCAATGTATTTAGATGAAACTGTTTGAGAATCATAAACTATTATTATGTTGTCTACATATCTTGCATAATATTTAATATCTGTTAAATTCGAAATTCTTTCATCTATTATATTCATATAGATATCAGCCAGTTTTGGTCCTATGACCGATCCCATGGCAATACCTTTCTTCTGCCTATAACATTCTGTAGAAATTTTAAAGTAATTGTTATTAAATACGAATTTTATAAGTTGATGCATGCTGGGAACGACCACTGGATATAAAGCACAACCAGCAATTGATATCTTTATGTATCCACTGAGGAGGCCTAATGGTGAAATGCATTTGGATTGAATAAAATAATAAGTTATTCCTTGTCACTTGTTTGCCTTTTTTTGATCTATAAAATCCTCAAAGTTGGAAATAGAAAGAGTATATTTTTACTTGTTTTTTTAACTAAAAATTTTTATTTTTAGTGTTTTGTTAAACATGTTCAAAATGACTGCCTTCAGTGGCAATACAAAGATGTAGACAGTCAAACATGACATTATGGATGGCAGATAACATTCCTCATGTCATCATTTTACAGGCCTGTCATATTCATCTCTGCATCTCTGTTCACTAACATCATACAGCACTGATACTTTTAGGTAATCTTACAGGAAAAAATTTAAATGTGGGGAATGTAGTGGCCATAAAACAGGACCATGTTGTCCTCTGCAGTGGTTACAAAATTATTCTGAGAGCCACTGATGCACATCTAAGAAATGAGGTAGTGTGCCATCATGCTAATATCAAACCTACTGTAGTTGTGCTAATGGCAAGGCATCAAACCATTTGTCCACCACCATCATACCACCATTAGGATATTCAGATATCAGTCACTATGGGACCAAGAAGTAGCTTACCCCAATTCCAAACAAGACATTTCAGGTATAATGCTATTAAATTTTGGTTAGTTAAAGTTTGATGGGGGAGATAAAGGGGGGTCATGTGTCATATCTGGAGTAGGGTTGGACTTAATGATGATTTTACTCATTATTAGGATTTACAATTTTTTACAAAACGTATTCCTGTCCTCAAAATTAAACTTTTTGCCATTTCATAATAATTAAAAATATAAAAGTTTTCAATAATAAAAGATAACAGATGGTTCCATACATGCCAGGAAAGTTAACTTTGTTAAATTAATTATTGCTGGATTTTTAAAAAAATACTTTTAAAATTTGCATTTAAGGTTATTGTATACACTCAAGTATTCTTTAAGATTTGACTGTTTTTTATGGTTTATTTGAATGTGTATAGCAAGAATGAGCAATTATATAGGTGGCAAGCAGCTAAGTAAGCAAATGAATGATAAAATCTATTTCGTGAAACTGACTTTGCCATTGGCTTGAATACTTAGCTGCTTGCCACCTAATTTATCCAATTTGTCCCAACTGTATTCTGCAGTTTGTTTGTATAATTGTGTTTGTTTCAATATAAAATAGTTTTTGTATGTCATTTGATGTTATATAAACATGAAAATTAACATGTCGAATATAAATAGTTGTATAAAAAGAAAGTTGAAATCAAATAATATAAATTTATTAAATTTTATTTATAAATAAGTTACAATTGTTTGTCCTCTGATTTATTAACTAAAATTGAAATAGTTTGTTTAAAAGCATCCTATTACATTAATTGTCTTATTGTATTATTTTTTACTGATTTTTAAGATCTGGAACCAATCTTCCATTTTTCCCATACAGTTGTGAGATCAGCCGGGGGTACTAATCCGAGGGGGGATTGTTTGTACCACTTATTCGGCACCCAGTTGGTAAAACTAGTTCTCCAGGTTTCAGATCGAGAGATCCGATCCTAAAAGTTCTTATAGGAGGGCTTTTAATAATGATCCAAATCGCGAGATTCGGATCTACGTCAGGATTCCTTGACACCAGTTAATCAATCTTATTATACGCGGATTAACACGCGTTTGCGATCTGATTCGGAATAAATTGAGGAGACATTCTTATAAAATAAAACAAGAGTAAATTTAATAAATCTCAAACAAACGAATACAAAAATTTCGATTACAACCATTTAGCGACAAGCTAGAGACTACGACTTAATCTATGCTAATGCGCGTTCGAGAGAGAGAGCTCACAAAATGATTCTAAACATACGACCTGTTAGTTGTCGTCTTCGTTTCTGTAGATATAGGACACCTTGTAGATAGAGTTCATATTACTTTCGTATGGGAGATCAATTCGTGCACAAAATATAAAAATATCACTTCTTCTAAGTGTAGACTCGGGACTTAGTCTATCGGACTCCGTTATGGGCGTTGGCCATCAGGAGGGAAACGTATGTGGAGTTTGTATGCTTCGGATCTGTCGAAGAACTCCCCGAATTCTGACTAATCTCCCCTTTTATTTCAAAATTTCGTCCAATCATCGTCCAGTAACTCTTTCGTGAGAACGGATGAGAGGGGGATGAATGAGGGGTAACCATTTCCCATCTGAGCGAGATTTTTAACCAGATACGGGAAAAACAGCGGATGTTCTCTTCGGGGGGGAAAGGAAGTGACATCTGTCATCTATTTTTCCCACTCTAAAACACTAGTTTTTTCACACAAAATGAAGTAATATTTTGTCAATATTTTAAACATATTAATAAAATTATTAACTTAGACCTAGGGCCTTTCGGATCTCACACAGTGTTTTTTTATGTAGTTTCTTTTTACACAAAATTTTAGACTGTATTATCACACAAACACAGAATTGGGTGTATTTTATTTAAATAGATGGATTGGATCAATTATTAGCATTAGTTAAAGTTTTCATATGATATTCATTTATCACATGAAACAGCTAAATGAAAATATTTTGTAAATATGCAATAATATTTTATGAGCAATTTTGTTTCATTCAGTTTTTTGGTTTAAAAAGTATTTATTTACTGTGTATTTATTTTGATTAAAAATTCTTTACTTTTTGAATAATTTCAGCCTCATTTATTGACTTGTATCCAGTTATGTGTATCTACAATATTACAAAAGACATCTAATGATGATGATGATGATTGTGAACAATCTACCTGTTTTAATTTTTTAAAGTCATCTCTAGATCATCTGACTAAAAGAATAATTTCTACTGATTTCGAAGATTTTGATTTGGTAAATAGGAGAAAACATTTTTACTTGTAAACACTAAAATTTAATAAAATTATAAAAATGTTATACATTCCATTCAAGGATCATTCTTCCGATTTTTCAACTGCAACTTCTGTTGGAAAACGAAATTATTTAATTGCATCTTTATTATTAGGGGTTCATGAAGCATTAATGGAATATACATTTTCAACTGGAAATATCAGGTATAAATCATACAAAAATAAAGATTAAATTAAGAATAATAAAAGAATGATGATGATAAAAAACCAATTGTTTTGAAGATATTTTATTATAATCATATGATTATTAAATTGTTTGAATAAATTTGTTTCAGCACAGAAAGTTGCAACAGTATCTTATCTCTTTATATTGCATATAAAAAACTAGAGGAATTAATAAAAGAAAAACAGAGTAATGGAAAAAAAGAAGGGAAAGGAAAAGGGAAAAAATCCAATAATTTAATGCATAAATTACCTACAAGTGTATTAACATTAAAATTTATTTCTGATATTCTTTATGCTTTATTTTGGTAAGTATTTTAGAAACCAAATAAATTTTCTATGAATAGTATGAAACTTTAAAAATATGAGCAATTATTATTTTGTTTAAAAAATTTTTAGTGACGATAATTCTGATCACCAGGATGGGTTAGTAATATTAAGAGGAACTGAACTTGATTTCTCTCAGCATTTTGTAAATTTGGCATGCAGTCGAATTGTTCAATTTCAAGAAAAAGGAAAATGTATTGGAATACGTAAAAATAGTGAAGATACATTCAAATGTTTTTTTGTTATTGGGAAGTAAGAAAAATCTTAAATTAAATGTAAATGTTTATGGCATGTTTTTAAAATTTGATGATTTTTATTTTAGAGCACTCTATCAGCAAAAACAAACAAATGATAATTCTACTTTATCATCAAGTTGTTTAAATTGTTTGATGCAGTTATTTACATTGTTTTGTAATCATTATCCTCATCAATTACAATCTTTTCTTCAATTTCTTGGTAAATTAATTTTTAAATGTTTTTATTTGTATTTATTTCATTTGAAAAATTTTAGTAAATATTTATAAAAAATGTATATTATTAAATTTTTTTAAAATGAGATGAATGTGTAGAAATGAAAACATATTTATTTATTTATAATTTCAGAACATTCTTCATGTGAAGCAGATAACACACTTCGTTATTTAATTATAAAATATATTGAAATATTTAAGGTAAAATTAAAGACTAACACTATTTTATTCAAATTATTAAAAACATAATTTTTTTATTGGAAATCTTCTATTTCAGAATTTTATTAATTTATCTTCTTTAAGTGAAAGTAATCAAAAAGATACTATTTATTATTTGAATATCATTAGTATGCTATGTAAACACATAATTCCCAATGAACAAAGTAAAACTGATATTTGGAGCTGGATAAAAAAGCTTTGTGTAGATGAGGAAATATGTAAGTGGTTTTTAGTAAATGTTTCAATTAGTCATCTGTCACAATGACCATACAAAAATAATGTATCATCATACTTTTAGGTGAAACTAATGTAGCAAAAGTATTGTTCTCATTATATCTTAATCTTGGTCGTCAGGATGCAGCATATGTTACATTATTGAGAGATGTTACTCATGTCATTCATTATAAACTTGGAGATATTGATGAGGTAAAATTATAATAATGAGTGAATAGCTTTTTTTTCTATACAATTAAAACAATCTTTGTTTATAAAAAATATAACTGTTATTAGAATTTCAATGTAAATTTTAAAATATGTAACTAATAAAATTTAACTTCATTTAATTTAATACTTAATCAAGTTAGAGAAAAGATGCTATTAATTAAAAATAAGTAGTAATAAAAAGATCTTTTCACTCGTAATTGGAGATGTTATTGAATTTGGAATTTGGTTTATAAGTATTTAGGATTCCAACAGGTCAAACTAACAAAACAGTCACAAATAAAACAAAATTAATGAAAGAATACAATAAAAATTCAAACTTGCTACTAACAACTCTTCTAAATACAAAAACATGAATGTATTTATTGTTTTAATGTATTATCCCAATACTCATACATTCACTTTGAATTATAAATTGGCTATATAAAAATAAAACAAACTTCAGAAGAACACAAGAGTTAATTAACTAAATGTACAAAATTCATTTATCCACAGTTTACTACAGAAAGACAGATTGGTTTTTTCTCAAAAGAATGAGTATGAGGCCTTATTGGCAGAATAAACTTCTTGTACAAATAAATACTAACACTAAAAATTTTTTTGTAAAAAACAATTATATAAGGCAATAACTCCTCAACATAAACACAAGCACAAATAATACCCATCTAAACATACATATAACTAATTTGGACATAACATTTATCTATAAAAACTATTAATGTTTAGCAGTCATGAACATAGAATGAACAATAGTATCTTTGTGAGATTAGTCAGGATTATGTTGAGAAAATTGCATTAAATTGCTGGCTCATTCACAGATGTCTTTTAGGAAGAGATTAAGGACTCATAGATGATCAAGTCATAAATGCAAAAAATTATGAAATATTATGAAAGACTCAATGCTTACAGACAGTATATGTAGAAAATGTTACATCATGTTCAAAACAAAACAAATATCAATTAGGATATATATTCAATATATAGACTTACTTATTCAAATAACAACATGATATGTTAAAAGCTTAAATACAAACACAGACACAAATATTACACACATTGCATTCATAGTACAACATAAACTGACAAAATTAGAAAAACACGTTCAAAATTACCATAACATCTGTAATTACAGTTAAAACAATCCAATATAACAGATCAGACATCATATTCATTGACAAAATAAAAATTACATTTATCCTAGATATATCCATTTCAAACACAATATATGAATAACTCATAATATCCCAAGCACCCATAATATAAAATATTTATACTGGTAAACTCAAAAAATACATAGAACTTTCCAATACTTGTGACAATAGATAAATTTATCTGATATAACATCTCTTTTAGAGATGTTAACCCATACCATATATACTACACAAATCTGAAAATACTAGGTCTTAGACAACATACTATATAAAGTAACAATATTAAGTAAACCTCACATAAAAATTTTTATAAATATAGATATAGCAACAGTATGCAGATATGATAAACAAACAAATCTAAATTGAAAGCATAGCTTAGTAGCTTTGTTTTACTTTTACTTTAGGTTTAATCATATACTATAGCAGACCAAAGTCAAATCATAATGAAGTACACAATTCTGGGTATCAACCAAGTATCTTATTTATACCATCATTATGACAATAATAATAATAATAATAATAATTTTACAGTATTGTGATTTACTAAGTGACAGTAACATAGATATAAAAACCAAAATGAAAATATTATCTTCAGTAAGATGTTGAAGAAATTTTGTGTAATTTAGAACAAATGGTCTTTGCAAAAGAAACAAAATTTTCTTAATTATTTTAATGAAATATTTAATAATAATAGATTTACATCAGTTTGAAATAAATACAAAATATGGCCAAAATGACTTTTATAATTCAATTTAAATTTATTGTATACTTAGAAAAGATTACAGTAGATTATATATGAAATGTTTAAGCACGTGTCGTTTATTTTTCTATAGAATTAATTCTTTAAAATTTTAAATTGTTTTATATATTTATTATTATTAATAGTAATGTTTGAATTGTTACCATCTTTAATATAATAGTGTATGCAAGCTGGTTTAATATATAAATTGAATACACTAATATTATAATATAATAATAATATAATTTCATTTATTTATATATAGTCAAATATATTACATTAATATATAATATAATATTTATACTTATTGCCATAAAAATTAGCACATCAAGACAGAGTCAGAATCAAATGAAATTGTACATGTGCAAGTGTAATGGTGATATAAGTAAGTGATTACAAAATGAGAGCAAAAGGATCATTTATTGCAGGAAAACTACAAATGAAAGGAGTTTCTAGTACCCTGTTGGGCCACCTTTAGCATGAATATATGATGTGATATAAGCAGCATGGAGGCATACAGGTGCACTATGGTGTCCTGAGGCATCTCAGTCCACAGTTGCTGCAAGTGGTCCTCTAGTTTGGCCAAACTCCTAAGCTGTCCAACTTGGCATCCCAGGTGATCCCAGGCATGTTCAATCAGTAACAAATCAGGACCAGGCAGGCCAGGGAAATGTGGCAATGTGGAGGATGCAGTCCTGTGACACACTTGCTGTGTGTGGTTGAACATTGTCCTGTTGGAGAATGGCTCTTGGAGGCCCTGTCATGAGAGGCATCATGTAGCTGCTGGATTTCACTAACATACCATTAGCTGTCATGGTCACTTGGATCACTACTAGATGTGACCAGTTGTCATATTTAATGACACCCCAGACCATCAGACTTGCTGTGGGGGAGTATGCCACTCCAAAGTGTAGGCAGGATTGAGGCGTTCACCACAGGGCCTCCAGATATGAACATGGTTGTTGTCAGTGTCCAAACTGAATCTGGATTTATTGCTGTAGACAACCCTGTTCCATTCCGTTGTGGTTCAATCCCATTGGGAGCAACATTACTTCACTTGGAGGCAGGCATCAGTGGGTGGTATTAATGGTAGCACACATAATGGCTGCTACGATACCAAATGTTCCTCATTTGGGTGCTTAAAATGATGTGGACATCATTTTAGTAGGCCTGTGTCCTGTGTCCAGATGGTAGATAGTGATACAGTTGGCTGTATGCATGCTTGTCAAAGAACCAGGTGGTCCTCTCGACTGGTGGTCTGCTGAGGACATCCTAAGCCTGGGCGCCATGTTAAATCTCTCTCGTTCACTGGTTCCAACACCTACTAAACTGCCGAACGATCGCCTAACTATTGGGCTATTATATGGCTAATTAAATGATTAGAATAAAGTAATTTCTATGAGGAGGTTCCAACACCTCCTCATAGAATGCCTGGTCATGGGCTATTTGGCAAGATAACCATCCAGCTTCTCTCAACCTGATAATCCTTTCCCTCTCAAACTCGGTTAGTTGTTCATATGGTCTTCGATTGTGATGTAAAGGCATTGCTAGTGATACAGCATCCCTCTGCAACAGGTAAACTACAAACTGGATGTCTTTGCTTGCTTTGTTTATAAGCCAAGGGGATGCACCTTAATGCTCTCTGCTGGCATTATGCAATGAGCCATCATGCTATAACTCAAATTGTTTCCATATCTGCTTAAGACTTATCTGCAATCCAAGTTTCACAGAAATTTGACAACTCCTACTTCATGTGCTAATTTTTATGGCAATGAGTGTATATTAAAATATAAATATTTCTGAGAGAAAATTTTAATTAAAATGATTACTTCTTATAATTTCTGATAATTGTATATGTTATTTTATTTATATAACTGGAGTAAAAGTATATTTTAAATAAAGTAAGTTTATAGAGGAAATTTTCTTCAAATTATAAGCAATACACATATATATTTAAACTTGTTTCTGAAAAGTGTGTTTGTTTTAGCATATTACAAGAAATTACAAAAAAAAAATTGAAATTCTGATAGTTATTTTTGGCAACCTGTGAGGTTCTTGCCAGACACTCTGTTTATCTGCAATTAATTTATATTATTATTATTTATTGATTAACAAAAATAGTGGCTACATTCTATACATGTAGCCATATTTCATTTGCATAATAAATTACATCAGTTATGTGGTATTTAGCATATTGTATAGATATACGTAAATCTCAGATAATTCAAAGTCCTGATTATTTCGTCCCTTGAATTTCAAACTAATGAGGATTTCCTGTATTAGAAGAAAGTCTTTTTCATGAAATTACTGAGAAGCAAGTACTGAAATTGTGAAACTGATTCAAATCAAATCTGCACGTCATTCAGTAAAAGATGAACCTTTCTTATTTAGTAAAAGTCTGATGGCTTATAATGGTCAGATAATGTAATAAGATTTTAAGATTTGGTTTTCAATTATAATCAGAAAATAGTAATAATTTTTGTATATTATCTTCTAAGTTGAAAGTTATTTAATAATAATGTAATATTTACGTAAAATTTAAATTAATATAAAATGGATTTCTACATTAGAGTTTAAAAAACGAGGCAAATAAATCAAAATGGTAGAAAATAACACTGTTGTGCATTAAATTATATATAACAAAACATTAATCAGTCAATAAGTAAAACTATTTTATTGTTTTTTTTTATTCAGTATTTAACAAAGAATGTAAGAAGTTCAAAGTTATTTAATATGACTGTAATTACATTATATTTCTTAGCAATCATGAAACTGACTGCTCATCAAAAAATGAGTTTGAAAAGTTCATCATTTGTTGGACAGACTATATTGGAAATACACAAAAATATTAGAATTTTGTGGGTGTTTTTGAATAAACTTAAGAAACTTCATTAAGTTAATCTCTGGAAAAGATAATTTAATAAAGTTTCTTAGGTTTTTTCAATTAATTATCATTATTAGGATCCAATACAGAAAGAAACTGTAAGATTCTAGTATTACAGTTACAAATCCATGTACACTTGATTCTTCAGTCATCTTTTCTGAAGAACTAATATTATTTAAATTTTTATTAAATTTAAATATCATTATTTAAATTTAATAATTGT